CTCTAAAAAATGCTGGGTTGTTTCAACCCAACTTTGGGTCAAATATGGACTAACCCAACTTTTGGGCTAAAAATTTAATTGACAAATTTAACCCGACAGCTGGGTTAGTCCATATTTGACCCAAAGTTGGGTTAAAATAACCCAGCATTTTTTAGAGTGTATGATTTGATGAGTCTTGCATGAGAATATGACGTTAAGTCATACTTGAGAAATTGTCACGTGATACATACCTTCCAGAGGGCAAGGACAAGCAGGGCTAAAATGATCAGTCCAACGATCAGACTGGATACTATTAAAAAAATCTGCACAGCCATCACAGGCTTATTGCTGTACAGAGCCTCCAAGAACACCTGAAATATTGCAAACATTCAAGTTCAACAATATTTAGCAAATCCAGCATCTCATCATGTATTCCTGGCATTAGAGGTTCAGACTACTTACTCTAGCAGAAACATCATCCTGTAGTAGGATGGTGCTGGCATTCTTTACTGGTGAAATGAGGTCAATCATGCCTTGTATCATCATGACAGCATGTCTTCCCTATAGGAAATAAACATATTAAAGGTCATGTGTTTTAGTTGTTCTTTTAAATATAAAATTCAGGTAATCCATCTGCCAAACAATGGTTGGTCCATATTATTTTTCTCTTCTCTAACAAATACTCACTGGACTCATCTGGAGAACCCTAGGGTTGAGCTCCACTTCCATAGTGATGGTAACTTCCTTCCCAACCTCCAAGTCACCAAAGTGACACTCCATCATCCTACAGGTCTTATCTTCAGGACCACAGAACTGCAGAACAACATAGAGTGAGACCTTCTCATAACAATTACACTAAACACACCATAACTCAATACTACGACAATTATTTTACCATTATGCGCTTGCTTTTTGGGGAGAAAAAGAATACAAGTTCTTGAATAAAGGAAGCTTCAGGGATGTCACAGTCATCAATAATCTGAACTGTATTGTTCCTCTGGAAGCAATGCCCAAGAGTTGTCTGCAAGACAAAAAACAGCTTAAGTTTAAGTAAAGAAAAAGATGTGCACATATAGATGCATAGCATACATTATAAGCTAAGTTATAGGCACTGTTAGGAATAGTTTGTGTGTTTCTTCTGTGAATAAAGCCAGAGATGTCTGGCAGAATGTCTGAACTTCAGCTTTCCATAAAAGGTAAGCAGATTGTGATTTATACTACCAAGCTCCAAAAAGAATAATAAAGCACCATAAATAATATAATAAATAATAAAGTGCTATATCTGCCATCTTCTGAGGTTGAACAACAGCTCTGTGTGAGGAACCAATTAAATTTAAGCCATTGTCTACTAAAAATATTCTAAATCTTGACGTGTCAAGTTTTGCAAACTCGACACGTCATGATTTGTCACATGACATGCAAGAACCAATGCAATTTGGCCTCAGTGATGTCAAATGTGCCATGAAAACACTAAAGTTGATCTTACACCGTAAATCGCCATCCACTTCATCCCATTTTATCCGCATTCATTGTTTCAAAAGCAGAAGCATATACATTCTGCCTAACATCTCATTTTGTGAAAGAAAAAAATAAATGGCATGACAGTAAATAAAGACTATTTTAATTTTGGGGTGAACTATTCCTTTAAAATACTGTATATAATATACAGTACACCAGTTAAGATTCACTGTAAGGTAAGAATTATTTATTTAATTTTATTTTTTTTTTAATTTTTAACAGTCTCTTATGCTCAACAAGACTGTTTATTTGATCAAAGATACAGTGAAAACACTAATATTGTGGAATATTACAATTTAAAATCTTTCTATTTTAATATATTTTAAAATGTAATTTATTCCTGTGATGACAAAGCTAAATTTTCCAAAAACAAGAATAATTTATTATTATTATTATTAATCAATGTTGAAAACAGTTATGCTGCTTAATATTTTTGTTCAGTATTCTTTGATTAATAGAAAGTTAAAAATAACCATATTTTTTATAGAAATATTTTGTAACATTATAAATGTCTTTACTGTCACATTTGATCAGTTTAATGCATCCTTGCTGAATAAAAGCATTAATTTCATTCATTCAGAAACAATCTTACTGACCCCAAAGGAATATTTGCATATGTAAACCTCACCTGTAAATCGGTAATCCTGATTAGCTGGTATTTGTATGGCACCAGCATCAGAGGCAAGCTGATCTTTACTCTCGCATCAAGAGCTTTACTAGGACCCATATTTATAATCTGTAAGTTAATAGACATTTTAACAAAACAAACCATGTCAAATGATTCATTAGTGCTTAATGACACTGTTGTCTGTCTGATGAGCGCTAAAATACCTTGTACGTATAATTGAACTTCTCAGGATAGCAGTCGACCGGCACCGACTCTTGTTCTCCAATCAGAAATGAAGTCGGGGAGACAAATCTGCAGAGGAGAGACGAAGAGAAGCATCCCGTAATTTGGCCTGTTATTCTTCCGACATCTATGGATTCAAATTCATAAGCAAAACAGATAACTTACGCGTGAACATTGAGGCCAACTGCATATCTCAAGGGCAGCGTAAGAACGGCCACGTTGTCGTGCTGAAGATCTGTGTTCTCAAAGTTCTCGCTGAAAAACACACATTGGATTGGTTTACATTCACTACTGAGGAAAGTAAAAAATGCATAAATGCAAGAAAATGGCTCATAAAAGGGTGAAGTTAGTTCTGAGAAAAGCATTTATTTGCAGATGTAACCCCTCTCTCCCGGGTCCTCACCGCCACACCTCATTCTGAGTGGGTCTCGAACCCGGGTCTCCGGCATGGGAGGCGGACGCACTAAAAAGGAGGCTTAAGACTGCAGCCACTAGCGTCAGTCGCTAGTGCATCTCTTGAGATCAGGGGAGTGAGGTTTACCTGCACAGCACCTACCGCTGGCCTCCGTTACACTCACCCCCCTAAACCTCACGCCCATCCGGGTCACGGCACCAATGCAACCCCTCTCTCCCGGGTCCTCACCGCCACACCTCGTTCTGAGTGGGTCTCGAACCCGGGTCTCCGGCATGGGAGGCGGACGCACTAACAAGGAGGCTAAAGTTTCCTGCACAGCACCTACCGCTGGCCTCCGTTACACAGACACCACTTAGTTTGATATTGTCCTAGCTAATGAAATGACATGTTAAGTGCAGTGTCCAAACACTTTTTGGGGTCATTGTATACTTTGAAAAGATCTTTCTATCAGAGGAAATGTTTAATGAGTTTAATTATTGGAATACAACCCTAATATACCCAGAGATTTCATTATAGGAACTCATTACATAGGCTATGTAGGCATCTTTAGATCCACTGTTTTTCATGCTTCTAACAGTAACACTGAAAGCACACAAAACCTTTGAGCGTGCTGTTTAATGCTTTTGTTTGTCTTTTGCATTCTGATCTTAATTTACAACCGTAAGCAGTAGCGAGATGCTCTCCACAGATGTTTACATTTGGCTCAGATGTCTTTGCATTTGTGTTAACCATCCATTGTATTGAATTCCTCAGATCTGGGGCTGAGATCTCTGGTTCTCTTACCTCGTGGCATTGATGTTAATACTAAGGTTCCCCGCGCTGCTGTTCTGCATCACATCTAGTAAAAAGGTGATGTTGATCTGGAAGAAAGCAAAGAGATGTTTATATTCCAACAAGATATGGTGACAAACAAACTCATTTATCTTCCATTGCTAAAGACATTTACCTTTGAGAAAGGGGGGATGTATAAATTCCCAACATTGCAGTCCAGTCCGATGGCCACTTTATTCTCCTCTGCGATTTCACAGCTGATGTATTTATCTTCCTTAAATAATATCACAAATATTAAAGCGCATCAAAGGCAATTAACGGGCATTCAGCAATGCAAAGTGCTAAAAGCTGGCTGTCAGATATCTAAGACAGACACGAACAAAATGAGGAATTACTGCGACAAAATTAAATTACCTCCAGCACTTTGATGAAATGCAGGTTGCTGGGAAACCTCAGGTAAAGTTTGGGTAGAAAAGCATCATCTCCAATGTTGACCAGTGTGGTGTTTAACATGATGCTTTTTCCGTTACCCAGAGCAAAGTATGGCATGTTCCTGTAGGACCTATTGGGAAAACAGTTATTTAAAATATAAATTAATCAGTTTCTATTAATTTTATAAATAAAGCATTTTAATCCATATTTAATCCATTAATTAGTCAGTATAATTTAGTAGGGATTAACACAGAGTGAAGAAAAGATTCAGAAAATAATAATAATAATAATAATATTTTATTAGGGATTAAACAATTTCAAACACAGAAAATCTTACAGTTAAATATTACACAATATTTAAAAAACTGCCAAATGAAGGAAGAACAATATCAAATAGAAAAAAAAATATATGAACAGAATTGTTGTAATTTAGAAAAAGTGTAACTTAAAGTTAGCATTTATATTTATTTATAATTATATTCATATAATTATACCATGTGCAATATTTGTTTACAAAGTCTTAAAATAATTTGTATTTCTCTAAGATCAGTCTAAATAAAAAAAATTTTTTTTTTTCTAAAGTATAAATTAAGCTCACATGGTTACATAAATAAAACAAAAATTTTAATTGTTAATCAAATCAAATGATGTGTATGACAATTAAATACTAAGCCAAAATTTCACAATCCTTAGCATAAGTTACTAAATTGAACATATTGTGGTGCAAAAAAAAAAAATTCCGTGTCACTGCAACTTTAATCAGTTCCTTGCAATCAATTCCTCTGTATTTCATCCTATTTTTAAAATTTAATTTTAAATAAAGATAAGCACAATTAAAATATTTTTCTGATCAATCAATTAACTAAACTGTCACTTGTGAAAATTGTTTTTAAAACAGTAAAAAATGCTTTTAATCATTTATGTTCATTTGAAAATATTTTCAAGACTCATTATTGCAGAATTTAATGGGAAAAAGAGCCAGTATTTTTCTGCATGTGTTGGTGTGGCTTGTGCAGTGAGGGCTCAAGCCTGATGTTTTTCATCTAAAGGCACCAGGTGCATCTGGGAGAGTGACAAGACACTCTCCACCTCACACTCTTTCTCTCTGTTTCTCTCTTACACACACACACACACACAAGCCTTATGAATAATCAGATCATGTATTATCACCAATGGGTGAGGGGGGTCCATAAATTAGTTTGCATACGGCTGCAAACATGATCCAAAATGCTAATGTGCACACTCACGCTTTCGCCTCAATTGGGCAAGTCCAAGAAACGTGATGCATAAAATGCATCGATATAAAGCTTTGGCTACTCTGCATGCTGGTTTAATGGGTGAATTCATGAGGAGAGCAGATAATCTCTAAAGCCCTCCTGTTAGTCACGAACAACACCAGCACAACTAGAATATTTACAGAGGTCTGTAGTTGCTTACTATGCACTTGAAAAGAAAAACATGTCACTGTGAGAAAATCAGGATGTCTGGATGCAATATATTATTTGAATTGTTTTTTTTTCTTTCAACGAAAATCAGCATAAATTGAATTTAGTACAACAAATACTTCCATGACATATACATGCAATAGTAGTTTTTAAATAATTTAAATAATATGAAATAATGTTTATAATAATTATGTAAATAAATGTAAATAATAATTATTATTTTACAGTAATCAGAATGAGATTATTTTTTTTTTTTGCATTACAAAGGATTTGGGAGCAAAAAAAAATGCATTTTCTAGGAAAATAACGTGGCTGCACAAAATCTAAGTGGTCTTAAAACCAGCTTAATTTCATTTATTCATAATTTCAACGAAAATCAGCATAAATTGAATTTAGTACAACAAATACTTCCATGACATATACATGCAATAGTAGTTTTTAAATAATTTAAATAATATGAAATAATGTTTATAATAATTATGTAAATAAATGTAAATAATAATTATTATTTTACAGTAATCAGAATGAGATTATTTTTTTTTTTTGCATTACAAAGGATTTGGGAGCAAAAAAAAATGCATTTTCTAGGAAAATAACGTGGCTGCACAAAATCTAAGTGGTCTTAAAACCAGCTTAATTTCATTTATTCATAATATTTTTCCATTTAATTTTGTAGTGTAACATGCAACAATTTCCGAGAGATTCACCCAGTTAGCATAGGTTATGTGTTGATGACTTACTGCGGTAAAACGAAATGAGCAGAAACCTGCAGGTTGGTTGAGCAGTTTTCCCAGGAACAATATCTGGCAAAGATGGTCTACAGAAAGATAGAAAGATTGCAAATCAAGACGCATAGTGACCTATAATGAGGTTAAAAATGTGGCCACAGAAGCTAACCACAATAACAAAACAAAGATGGAGAAATAGAGAAAACCTGACCTTGTTTTTCACGACATTCGCCTGTTCATCCTTCTGCTGTAGAATGGGTTTGAGAGAAGGCAAGCCCCCTGAGTCCCTCTGTTGCACACGGTGCTCTCCAAGTTCATATTTCACCTCAAAATGGATGGGTGTGAAGATATCCCGGACGTCTTTCTACACACAAGAGAACAAAAACATTTTAACAAGATGTTCTAAAGAAAATGACTGGCGCTTGTCAATCCAAAAAAATAACCACCACAAATGCTAGGATGTAGTGGGTGGTTGCCAAGGTGTTCCGATATGGTTGCTAAGGGGTTCAGAGTTTTTTTTTTCTCTTAGGAAATTAATACTTTTATTCAGCAAGGATGCATTAAATTGGTCAAAAGTGACAGTAAAGACAACCAAAGTTGCAATATCAAACTGGTTAGGATCAGGGCTCATACTTTGGTTGTTTCACATGATTCAGTTAGTTCCTACTGGTACACTACTGTTCAATATACTGTATATATATATTAGGGCTGCACGATAAATCACATTCGATATTTAATGCGCATCTTTTCAGTAAAGCCATTTCTGTAATCAGCGGTAAATCTCCATTTACCGCTGATAAATGTACACACTATATATATATATATATATATATATATATATATGTGTGTGTGTGTGTGTGTGTGTGTGTGTGTGTG